AAAGCTCAATGTGCTTTTTTTCTGTGGGGATTAACTTTTAGAAATACATGTGTGGCTATATTGTCGAAGACTTTCATAGCCGGAATCAGTGGGTTGTTGTAGGATTTTTCGGGCTATATGACCATGTTCTAGAGGCATTCTCTCCTGACGTTTTGCCTGCATCTATGGCACGCATCCTCAGAGGTAGTGAGATCCCGGGACAACATGTCCAATTGTGTAAAGAGAAACCTGGAACTTTTAAAACTGCTTATTAAGGTACCTTAATGCCAGAGAAAAGTCATATTGTGTACGGGCTCCAACGATTTAATTGCTCCTATCTCAGAAATAGCACTCAATACTTTAAAGGGGAACATCCCTTTGGTCCCACACCAGCTAAGGACATTGAGAAAAAGGTGTTGGCTTATTAGAATTCTGGTAAACAGCAAGGTGTCTCTTTGAAAAAAGGCTGGAGGGTTTTTGGGACCTCTGCTAAGTTTTGCTGTTCCTCTGTTAACCAGTCTTTTAACAAAGCAGTGATGGAATATGCTAAAAATTTGTATCTGGTTCCTAGCCATCAGCTGGATCAATTAAGAACCGCACCTCCCAAGGATGAAAACATCTGAACTACGGTCATCTCATCCCTAGATAGAGAAATGCTGGGGATTCTACGCAGGTCTGATTTATCCGAACATGAAAAAGCATGACTCTAAGATACCTTACTTCAAAAATATTTAACCCATGTAAAACAGAGGGATGCTGAGAAGCAAAGTTTAAATCTGCTTCCATCTGAACCACCTGCTGAAGAAACAACAGCGTCCCCTTCTGTTTCGTGACGTAAAGTGGTGGACGGCCTGCCTGCTAGATACAAGAATCATGCGAGATTGATGCTCAACAAAATAAGCCAAAACAAGAATATTTCTACATGGGATGATAAAGGATCCTTCATGTATAAAGGAGAGGTAATTCCCAGATCTAACATCTTGGACCTGATCAAAGGTGCAACCCAAACTCATGCCTTACCTGTCACCAGCCTCCCTAAAGGGTGGGATGTTTTTATGAAGGCCTTGGCCAAAATAAACACCCCGACATCTGTGATAGGTAATATGGCCAATAGAGAATTTCTGGACTATCTAAAGAACCCTAAGTGTTCACCCCCAACTCAAAGACTCAAATCTTCTAAGGAGCAATGGCAAGCTAGCACCTGGCTTAGCTTGTAATACAATTATTTTCAGTGAATAAAATGCTTCTTTTCTTAAATCCTGCTTTATTGTCTATAGATGTTCTTTTTAAAAAAAAATAGAGACACATGTCATATTCCACAAGCACCCCTAGGAGGGGCTGTTTATTAAAACACGACTATGAAATGCACTAGAGGAAATACACTGTTGTATCGTCTGGAACATATCTGAGGCACGGGGTTGTGCATTCATTTTCTTTACAAAACGAACAACCATTTTGTCATTTTTATCCACATCGCTGGAATATAACGTATGAATATTTTTAAAGGACTGCCCCCTGCAGCGATGATGAAGGAAAAATATGCAGTGATGTCCACAAACAACAGAGTCTGAGGCCTGTACAGGGCTGCATTGATACACAGTGCACAATGGCTTTAGGAAACAACACATAGTTGGGAGGGTGTCCATATGAGTCAAAAAATTCAGCAGTCCTTTAATTCGGCAGGTAAACAGCTAACAGTGTTCTCTCGGGAGGTTATGGGGATGAGTATTGATAATCAGCACGAGCACTCTTTGCTGCAGATGCTTTCTTGGAAGCTTGTCACAGGGTAACACCCAATAGAAACGGTTTTGAGTATAGGGGTTTGAGCTTAGTAGATGAGTTAACTGTAGGCTATCCATTTCACATATAATCAAACAAATCCCCCAATAAAGTATAATTTGTCACTTTTTCCTCTCCATAGTGATACATTGTGTCCTTTTACTGCCTCTAACTCTCTCCAGCATGAACTTTCCACCTCCCGAGCTGCAGACTGCTGTCTGCTCGCCCGGGATGCGTTTCCAGTGTCCTGGGTAGGCCAAAACTGTGTTCCTCTGAACCGTGGATATGGAAACCCCTTGGGTCCCTGTATTCGCGGGTCAACGGATCGTTTCCAAACTGGTGCCATTCTTTTCCTATAATAATTTTAAGACTAATTGCTATATCACTTTCTGTGCTATGGACCCCTCCACTCCAGGAACAACCTTTTTTCACCCCAAAACTTCCTATGGAAACCAGCTGGTTGAGATCCATGGCTCCCTGCTGCAACATTGTTCCTGCCGCCGTCTTGTTGATGTCCAGAAGCCTGTTGATCTGGGGAACCTGCTGCGGTCACCCCTTTGGATCCCCAGAAAGCAAACAGGCCATCTTGGCCCCATGACAAGATGGGATTTATAGTTTCCTTCGCTCAGATGAATGGACCCTGACCCTCAGTGCTTGCAATGATCCCAGTATGAGCCCAATGGACTCATACATTTCCCTTGAGATTCATGAACTTTTCAGACTTTCATTGGACTTTTGCCAACTTTTTGAAAACTTCTTAATTTTTTTGGAAACTTTTTTTCCTCGAATCCCTTGGACTTTCACTATGATTTATGAACTTCTTAATGGACTCTGGTGGGTGGGATGGGCTGATGGAAAATGGAGCATGTATGTATGGGGCTGATAGTCACTGTATGTGGGGTTTTTTTTAAAAAAAATGATTAATTTGTTATTTATAGGAGACTTTAAACACTTTATAAAACTTCAATTCCCATGATGCCATAGCATGGAACACAGACAGTTACAGTTGTGTCAAATGACATTAATTCTACAGTGTAGCTGCACCTTCTGTCTTGAATAGTTATTTCGTATATGTAAATGTGGATAAAAACTGAGTTAGGCTGCTGTTGTGTTAAACCTGAGCAAAAGCCATTGCTTTTCTCTTACATTTTATCTAAATATGAGGGAATGAAAATGAGAGTCATGCAGGAAGATACAGGCACTTTAGTTATAAAACAAAAAGTTATTTTGAACAGTATATCAGTCACAGTTCTATGCTAAAATCTGTGTCATTCTTAGAAGTGAGGTTGGGGCCTATTTACACTGTCATATAATGCAGTGTAGACTCATAGTGTACAAGCATCATTCAATAGAAAAATATAAGACATTTTATACACTGTTGACAGCTATTCAAACTTCCTCCACCTCCTCCTGATTGGCTGAGAAATGGGGACAGCTAGGATCCACACAGGGATTCCCCAGAGGTCTCCCGGATCTCACTCTCAGGAGAAGGGGATCCCCATGGCGGAAAGAAGGATAGCTAATTATTGGTAGGTTTAAAGATCCAGTGCATTGCAGAGAGACCCCTTGAGAGGGTGTGAAACCGAGGGGGATGATGACATGGGTATGCAGGTGATTTCTTGATTGTATTAAATGTCTAGTTCCATGAAGACAAAGGTGCAAGACCTGGATGACTAGAGGCTTGGCTGCCTGTTCAGAAGGCTAATGTATTCATCTCTGTTTTAGCCTTCTCTTCCATGGGAATGATAACCCTCCAGTCATAGTTAAACATCCTTAGCCCATCTGTCTTACATGCATACACAAAGGGACTGATATTATCTGGCTTGGGAGACCATTGTTCTTAATTGTTCAGCTATATCTGTTGCCAGGTGCTTATGTAAATAGGTGACACTGGGGAAGCAGATGCCTTCAAGATATACAGTATTTGATACAATTTTATACATTTAGAAATTGATACAGTACACAAGCAATACAAGTTACACAAGAATTATCATCTTATATTAAAGGGTTTTGGTTTGATATAGTTTGGATACAGCTGCTGCTGGGTCCTTCCAGAGCCTCCAATGGCTTCAATATTTTGAAACTTCAAAAGAGCACAAGAGGATTTATTTTGTGTAGGATAAGGGTTTGGGGTGAGTGTATGCTTTGTCATGTGTAATACATTGTGTGTTGGTGGCTGAATGTTATGGAAAAAAATGAGTAGAAAGTTTAGACTGAAAATAGTGGATAACATGTTATAATAGCAAATCCATATATTTTAAGTTAAGTAACTGATAATAATATGTACTCAATGTTAGAAATAACTGGTTGATTGACTAAGATAGATAGGCATGTATACATCAAAAATATTGTTACCTCACTATATTTCTTATGATTTGTTGCTCTGTTATGTACCATAGCTAAAATAAACTTTTGGGTTTTTTTGTTTTTGTTTTTTTACAGAGCAGAAAATGTTGGAAAATCATATCTCTTGCTTGGGGGTCTCTCTGAAGGTCTGGATCACTTTGGGGTGTGGGATGCCTGTCTCAATGACATATGCTTTTAAACTAGATTATGAGTCTACACTGACCTTTTTTTCACAATATTTTTATTGTTTCTACATTACAACATCTTGCTTCCACTTAGTTTCCGTTGGTGCTCATAGTTATGCACATTTCATTTTCATGTACCACTTCGTTTGTCTGCACCTTCTTTTTGTATACATCCCTCTCTTTTATGATATTGTTATTTTTTATCACTTTTCACCTTCAGTTAAATGCTGGGTTCTGTTTTTGGTAATTGTACAGTGGTGGGAAAGTCTATTCTACATAACATCCTTTGCCTCAAGCATGGGCAAACTTCGGTCCTCCAGGTATTTGGACTTCAACTCCCAGAAATCCTAGCCAGCTTACCAGCGGCTGTTAAGAATTGTGGGGGTTGAAGTCCAAAACACCTGGAAGGCCGAAGTTTGCAAATGCCTGCTTTATCCCCTTACACCAACACTACCCCTACCCCCCCCCTTTTGATTTGCTCGTTTACATATTGCATTTTTACAAGGTCTGTTTATTCAAGTGCATATCAGTATAGCCTTACTTCATGGAACAATGTGTGACCACAGGAGATGTTTCCTACTGATTGAAAGTTTCTGAGAGATACACGCTTCGGAGGGGGGTAGCAGATGATGCTGTTAGCAGTTTCCTGTAAGTCCAGATGCAATCTGGGGTCTCACCAAAAATATTGCCATCAATAGACTTGACAGGAGTGCAAGAGCTTACAATTTGCAGGACCGAATATTTCTTTGTTGGGATGCCTGCTTTCTTCGTTCTTTTACTTGGGTGAGGGCAGCTGACAGAAGAAAGGACACTGATTATGGAAGGGAGGTGGGAGAAAGATAGCTTTCAGCTATCTGAAATGAAATGTTTTGCATACAAGTGAGGTATTGGGATAGAAAAACTTCCTCCCCAATGAGATGGGGTTAGGGAAGAGGGTTCTTAGTAGTGAGTAACACTGCACTCTGTCCATGTTCAGCGGCTCATTGTTTGGATTTGCTGTGTAGGATGAATGACTTTCTAGGCGATGATTTTCTGGAGATCAGCCTCAGACTTCACTGTGTTTGTGTTTTGGGCAGGCGAGCAAATGGAGAAATATGGTGATCTGGCAGAGATCTTGTCATTGTTTTAGTAATGGCTCTTCCTCCCTTTCCAGGATCCTCATTGTGATAGGAGAAGAACAAAAGCCATGGTAAGAATATGACAACAATAACAAATGGGAAACGGTCTTTTCGGGAGTGGCCCCTTTCCAATGGAGTGTGCTTTTGTTCCTGTTTTTAGCTGCTTCTCAACAATTATTAAATAACATTGCTTTCCAATCTGTTTTCAGCTGCGGATGCTGAAGTTTTAACTCTTATTATTCTGTTTTGACTTTGTTGATCTTTGACTTTGTTGAGAGTATGGTATTTCCAAGAGTGTATGTACACAGTAGAATTAATGTAGTTTGACACCACTTCAACTGCCATGTTTCAATGATATGGAATCCTGGGCGTTGTCGTTTAATGAGGCACCAGCACTATTTGGTGAAGACCTTGTAAAACTACAATTCCGTAGTATTGTGCGAAGGCAATTAACATGGTGTCAAATTACATTACAGTAGAGTCTCGCGTATCCAACCCTCACTCATCCAACGTTCTGTATTATCCAACGCAGTCTGCCTCCTACTTGGATCCAGAACTCTTTTAATACAATGCTATGTTTTGGTGCTAAATTCGCAAATACAGTAATTACTACATAACGTTACTGTGTATTGAACTGCTTTTTCTGTTGATTTGTTGTAAAACATGATGTTTCGGTGCTTAATTTGAAAAATCATAATGTAATTCGACATTTAATAGGCTTTTCCTTAATCCCTCCTTATTATCCACCATTTTCACTTATCTAACTTTCTACTGGGCCATTTATGTTGGATAAGCAAGACTCTACTGTATTTATACAGTGTAAATGCATTATAAGACTAGTATTTCAATTTTATTATGGCAATTCAATGGCAGGCCTATTATCTCAATTTCTGAATGGTAAACCAACACTTATTTACATTCTCTTGAGTCAGTGAAATAGGTCTGCCTTAATTGGCATTAGCTTTAGTCTAATGGGTTTTATGTTTTCAATTGTTTTTCCGATTGTTTATGAACCTCCAGATGTTTTGGTCAGCATCTATGACAATAATGATCTCTAACCACCAGAAATGCTGGTAAGGCCTCATGGGCATTAAAGTCTCAAACATCAGGATGGTGTTGCTAACCTGGTTTGGAATGATGTTCAAAAAGGAATTTATATTACATTGGTTACAGTAGAGACTCGCTTATCCAACCTTCGCTCATCCAACGTCCCAGGTGGGAGAAAGAAAGAACTCTTGTCTGATTTAGTGCTAAATTCATAAATACTGCAATTTCTACATAACATTACTGTGTATTGAACTTCTTTTTCTGTCGATTTTGTAAAACATGATGTTTTGGTGCTTAATTTGTAAAATCATAATGCAATTTAATGTTTAATAGGCTTTTCCTTAATCCCTCCTTATTATCCAACATTTTCGCTTATCCGTTGTTCTGCTGGCGCATTTGTGTTGGATAAGTGAGACTCTACTGTATATTGTATGAAAGGAGGAGAATTAAATAACTACCTAGAAAAAATAAGTATAAAATGTGATTCCATTTGTGAGGTGATTTGTTAAATATTTGTGAAATTAGGGGAGGAGGAGATCTTTTTGTTGTTGTGGCATAAAATAAAAAACTGCATTATAAATTTTGTTGTTGTTGAGAGCAAATCTTTTCTTTTTTTTCTGGATATTCAATTGCCCTATTACAGCCCCACTGATGTTCTGTATTTTCTCATTTTGTTCAGGGACAACTATGACCTTCCAACCTGGAATGGCCAAAACAGAAGATATGACCAAGATACCAATTATTTCAGAGATGAGTGGGTCACTTTGTACTTTTTAATATAGATTTCCAGCATAGCTAACAGAAATATCAATAAGTCCTGGGAGTTGTGGTTTTACAAGATCTCTAGTCCTCTCTGCCAAAGGGTTATGGTACTTGACCAAACTATACACCCCAGGACTATATCGTTGGAAATAACAACCTCCCAAGCCTCCACTAACTGTTTGTAAATGTGCATAATTGTTAACCGATATTGTATGTACATTTCGGCTTGCCAGTTTGACTGTACCTCTTTGGTGTGGGAGGGGCTTCAGACACAGGACTTCATTTTGTATTTAGTATGCTTTTAGACCTCAATGGAGGTGGATGCGGTTTGTCTCCTTTCAGACTTCAGTGAGTACAGTTATACCGTTTGGACTATATCTATATGCTTAAAGACATTCGACTATGGGCTAGTATGCTAAATATATACAAGAAGTTTGTTAGTAAACCTGAGATATTATTTTTAAAGAGGACTACTTTGTTTTTGTCTCTTGAGTGCATTTTTTAAGGGAGAGTTGATGGGCAATTTCAACTGCAAAGAAACAACTATCCTCTGCTAACCAAATGAGTTTTTTTAGTGGCATGTCTTTATCCTTGGCAGTTTAAAGACATGGTTCTTCAATTGAACAACTGAGTTACCTGTGTGCCATTACATGATTGCTTATGAATATCACTTGTTCAAAGAGTTGACTTCTAACAAGGTCATGCTTTTCTTGACTCGTGATTTTCAAAAGGTGGTCTCTACATGTTCATGGGAATTCACATTTGCCAATCAGATGTGACATCATTTTTACCTTTTCAATAAGGTTATGGTGCACTTATTTCCAATAGGTTTTATTTATTTATTATTTATTTATTTCAAACATTTGTATCCCGTCCTACTCAACCCCCGAGGGGGACTCAGGGTGGCTTACAATGGCAACAATTCGATGCCAGCAACATACAAGACACATTAGAATGCAACATTACATAGTAGATAAAAACATTAGGTTAAAATCCATTTTAAAACATTGTTATTAATCCTATAACCATATCAGAGTGAATGCCCGGTCCCAAAAGCATGTTTTGAGCTTCTTCCTGAAGGAGAGGAGAGATGGTGCTGACCTAATTTTGCTGGGGGGTATATTCCACAGACTGGGGGCCACCACCGAGAAGGCCCTGTCTCTTGTCTCCACCAAATGCGTTTGCGAAGAAGGTGGGATCAAGGGGTGGGCCTCCCCGGACGATCTTAGATTCTGAGGCAGGACATAGAGAGAGATATGTTCGGACAGGTAAGCTGGGCTGGAACTTATTTAGGGTTATAAAATTTCCAATATATATATAGCATTATGTCATGGCAATTAAAGTGGTGTCAAACTGCACTCATTCTACACTGTAGATGCAATCACGTAATACTTCATTAAACTCCATTATTGGCACTATTAAGGTATGAAAATAAGGTAAGAGAAAATAACCATATCAGGCAACTGAAGCTATGTAAATCTGATTTCAGACAAAGGTTTGAATAAAACTTAGTTTATACCAACGTTAGAGAAGACAGTACATCACATGAGGTTATTCCACCATACAGAGAGGAAATTGATATGATGAATTCTTCTGCATTAAAAATAGAGATCTTTTATGATGTTCCTTGCCTCTTTACCAAAACATGATTTTTGTGTTTGTATTTTCTTGTCAATCCAGAAAGATGCCCATAAATCCATCCAGCCATTTGTATCCTGTTTTGGTAGTTTCTCCTGGAAAATGGGTCACTGTCCACTGTAATAACACCTTTAAGATACAGGGTTCTATCCATTTAAAGAAAGGTGGAAGAGTCACAAATCATCACCAATTCAACTCTAGAGGCTATCCTGCATCTTTCCATTTTCATGCGAAACGAGACGATGGAGGGTTGTACCAATGTTGCTATGGACAGTTTCAGCCTCTATGTAGAGTTGAGGAAGGACTGGAACTTATAATAAGAGGTAAGAGCCGAAGATGAACGTTTTGGACTGGATTTCAGAGGAATATCTAAATCTGAAATCAGGCGGATGTTTCTGTATAAATTGGGCCACAACAATGGCCCTGTCATACTACACAATTATAGCAATATGATTCTACTTTAATTTTCCCGGCTGCATCCTCTGAAATCCTAGAGTTTGTAGGATTTTTGGAGGGAGGGGCAAAGAGAATATTGAGAGGTGACACGATTATTATTTATGAATTACTGAAAGTATACGATACTAGCCATCCCCTGCCATGAGTTGCGGTGGCCCAGTCTGTGTATATGTGTTTTTGTGTGTATATATGTGTATATGCGTGCATATATTTCTGTATATGTATATATGTGTCTTTGTGTATATATGTCATTTTGCGCATGTGTTGTAATGTATTTTTTTGTTTTTTGGGAGTTGCAGTACAGGAATAGGAATTTGGAAATATGCATGGATTGGGATGCTCTCAAAGAGATCCAAGGGGAAGAAAGCTTGCATCTTGGAAGCAGTGCATTTGGATCATCCTCTTCCTAAAGGGCCTGGTCTAGGGGATGCTGGGAGCTGTAGTCTGGAAGAGAGTGTGGATATGCTATTGTGTGTTTTGTTTGCTGGGGGAGTCATTTTTGCATGCACTGTAGCGTCTTTTTGCTTTTTTAGTTGTTTCTGCTGTGTTTTTCAGTGTTTTTATGAGTGTTGATCACTTGTTGGTCTGATAGGTGTCTTGTGTCCAGATTTGGTGTCAATTCGTCCAGTGGTTTTTGAGTTATGTTAATCCCACAAACGGACATTACATTTTTATTTATATAGATGTATACAGTGAGCTTGTTTTCTGTTGTTCATCTTACTAGCAGTTTTGTGATCCTTCACAGTGTTGTCTTTTCCTTTGTACAGATTCCAGATTACTCAGACCACAAGTCTCCTTTGGATCTATTCCAGTACGCATTGGAGACGTCTTTACTGTCCATTGCAGAGTCCAAAGAAATGCTGAAAAGTTTTATTTCCAAAAGGATGGGAAAGAAGTGCCTCACCAAAAACCATCCAAGAATGAGCTAACAATCCAAGAAGCAAGTGAGGAGCATGTAGGGAATTATAGCTGCAGTTATTCCCAGAAGTTTCTCATGTCAAAACCCAGTGACTCTATGTTGCTGCTAATAACAGGTGAAAGCATTTGCATCCTTCCCTCTCCCTTTTGTTCACTGTTGAATTTCAGTTCTTAGGACATGTTTTGCCTTTATTAGAAAAGCACTGTTGTTGTTTAATCATTCAGTTGCTTCCAACTCTTCGTGACCTCATGGACCAGCCTACTGATCCATTTAGTTTTCATGGCAAGAATACTGGGGTGGGTTGCCATTACCTTCCCCAAGAGTTATATTTAGTCTGACCTCTCTGCCATGACCTTCCCATCTTGGGTGTCCATGATTTCGCTTGTAGCATCATCGAGGTGCTCAAGCTCCAACACCGCAACAAGGCAACGGTCCTTTGCTGGAGAGAAAAGCACTAGACTACTTCTTTTGATAGGGCAATTGAAGAGAGAAATCAATGGGAGATGCCTTTTTAAAGGTATTGAGGAAATGATGAATAATATAAAGTTTATTTTTCTGATGTGAGGAATGTGTGATTTAACACTTCTCACTTCCAGAAGAGTAAAATCACATATCCCTCAGAGATGAGGAAACTTCAGGTGGAAATACTTTGAGAAAGGAGAAAGAGGAAAAGTCTTCCCAGAAAAGATGGGGTACATCTACATTGCAGAATCAATACAGTTTGATGCCACTTACTGTATATACTTGAGTATAAGCCGACCCGAATATAAGCCGAGGCACCTGGTGTTACCACAAAGAAATGGAAAAGAGGATTGACTCAAGTACAAGCCGAGGGTGGGAAATGCAGCAGCTACTTAATTGAAGCATCAATAGGTTAAATGTTTTTGAATATTTACATAAAACAGTAATTTAAGATAAGACTGCCCAACTGTAAATGTGCTCATGTATCCTTCCAATAATAATAGAGTGAAATAATAAATGTAATAATAATACTACTACTAATAATAATAAATGGAAATCTAATAATAGCAGTAATGATAGTGTAAATTAATAAATGTAATAATAACAAGAATAAAATAAAATAATAAATGTAACAACAACAACAGCAACAACAACAGAGTAAAATAATAAATAACCTTGACTCAAGTATAAGCCGAGGGAGACTTTTTCAGCCTAAAAAAGGGCTGAAAAATTAGGCTTATATTCGAGTATATACAGTACATTGTCATAGTTCAGTGCTTTGGAATTGTGGGAGTCATAAATTTACAAGTTCTCTAGCCTTCTCTGCCAAAAAGTGCTAGTGCCTCACCAAACTCCAAATCCCATGATTTCATAACACTGAGTCATGGCAATTAAGGTGATGTCAAATAGCATTATTCCACAGCAGGCATGGGCAAACGTTGGCCCTCCAGGTGCTTGGGAGTCCAAAACACTCAGAGAGCCAAAGTTTGCCTGTGCCTGCTCTAAATGTAGATGCACTCTGGGTTAGAGTGACCAGAATTATTCTTTTTTCACAATCTTCTCTTTGTTTTACAGTTCTGTCAACTATTTAAACTTCTCTAGTGCTGGATAAATGTGTGAATGTGAGGAAAGCTTTTTGGTAGCGTTTGCCTTTCTGTACACAGGGCTGCTCTTTTCTAAATATATGAGGCTGAATTGCTGATGAAGAGAGTGCCCCCCATCTCTATGTTACGACATTTTTGAATTCCCAAATGTTCTTCAAGAAAAAATCTCATCCATGTCCAGTTTTAAGACAGTCAGAAAAAAGAAGGGGGAAACCATCTTGTCCTTCCCCTCTGTGCTGTTTGCATCTTTCTCAATGTATCAGCTACTGGAAGAGCCTCTACTTCAGTGGTTCTTAACCTGTGGGTCTCCACAGGTTTTGGCTTTCAACTCCCAGAAATCCCAACAACTGGTAAACTGGCTGGAATTTCTGGGAGTTGTAGGCCAAAACACCTGAGGACCCACAGGTTGAGAACCACTGCTCTACTTGGACTCTGTGAAATATCTGTCGGCAGGTTCAGGTTCATTTTGTGAGATGTTGCTGTAGAGAAAGTAGCATTCGTCTATCTAGTGCAATTTTAAAAATGTACGTGCTGTAGATAGCCACAATTACTCCTAAAACCGTGGTTCCCGCACTCTGATCATTCATGTATTTTGGACTTTGACTCCGAGAAGTCTCAGCCTTATATCCCAGAATATTAAGGCAGAAAAATCCCACAATATCTGCTTTAAACTGGGTTATCTGAGTCCATACTCAGGGTCTTCCCACACAGCCCCATATACTAGAATATCAAGGCAGAAAACCCCACATTATCTGAGTGTGGACTCATTTAACCCAGTTAAAAGCAGATATTGTGGGATTTTCTGCCTTGATATTCTGGGATATAGGGCTGTGTGGAGGGGCCATATATTCCCATACAAAGCAGACAATATGAGTTTTTATTCAGCTGTGTGGAAGGGGCCTCAGCTAACTTGGTGAATAGTCAGAGATTCTGGGACTGGATCTACACTGTCATATAATACAGATTCAGAATGCAGATATGCATTGAACTGGATTATATGGCAGTGTAGATTTATATAATCCAGTTCAATGCAGTTTATCTGCATCTCGAGACTGGATTATATGGCAGTGTAGATCCAGCCTGGGAGCTGAAGTACCTTGAGAAGCTAAGTACCTTGAGAGAATCACTGTTAAGGGTAATTTCAGCACAGTTTGGAATTGCATTATATGGTCAGTGTAAACACATATAATGCACTTCAGTGCAGTTCAAATGGCATTATATCAGTCTACATCAGGCATGGGCAAATTTGGCCCTCCAGGTATTTTGGACTTCAAGTCCCACAATTCCTAACAGGAGTTGAAGTCCAAAACACTTGGAGGGTCGAAGTTTGCCCATGCCTGGTCTACACTGATCATATACCACAATTCAGTGCAGTTCAAACTGCAATATATGGCATTGTAGACCCAGCCATGCTTTCAACAGTGCATCAGAGACCATATTGGAGTGAAGAGAAAATGCAGCAAAAGTGAATCTTTGAGAAACCACATTTGGCTTTACAGAGAAAAGGCAAGCAAAAGTTCCCATGGATGGATGGCATGACTGACATTCTGTGCTTGCCATATCATTTTCCAATTCCTTCTTTTCCTAGGTGCTGACTTATCACAGCCAACCATCTCTAGCGACGCAAGTGGGCTAGTTGCCCGTGGGGCACTATTTTCAATTACGTGTGAAACTAAAATGCCTCCTGTCATATGCTATCTCCATATAAATGAAAATCCACCAAAAAGAATAACAGATACTAATGGGAGAATAAGCAGATACTACTTCAAGAATTTCAGCGAAACTGATCAAGGGTCGTATAGCTGCAGCTGTGCACGCGAGGAAAAACCTTTTCTGGTCTCAGAAAGAAGCCATACCCTGAACCTTCTTCTATTAGGTATTTTCCTACTTCTCCATACTTGCTTGGTATAGTTTAGTTTTATGCTCTTTCCATACTACATATCAAATTGAGACGCTCAGAAAGGTTGGCATTGAAATAAAACTAATATCAACTAATATCAACATTAGACACTGCTTCCATCCTCTTTTTCATGAGCTCATCAGAATAGGGAAAAGGGGATGGAACATGCTCATGTTGTTGTCTTTGTCACTCCCAGCTGATTGCAGATCTCAATGTGAGCTCCTAACTATTGCAGATAACTGTGGGCCCTATATCCCAGGATATCACACAAAGTGCTTCAGTAAACCACAAGCTGAATATGAGTCAACTGTTTGATGCGGCAGCTGAAAAGCCAAAATTTAGGTGATAAAAATTTTCAAAGTTTTGGAAGACAAGCCCTATGAGGAGTGGCTTAGGAAACTGAGGTTGTTTAGCTTAGGAAAAGAAGGCTGCAAGGTGACATGATTGCCTTGATTAAATGTCTGAAAATGTGTCACATTGAGGAGTGGAGAACCCACATCATCTGCTTTGTACTGGAATATATGGCAGGTTGGACTCAGATAACCCAGTTCAGAGCAGATATTATGGAATTTTCTGCCTGGGGGAGGTCATAAGGAGTTTTCAGAGGGGTCACCAAAGACCATCAGTAAACACATATTTCTGGTGGTCTTAGGAACTCCTTTGGCAGAGAAGGTTGAAGATCTCTCTGCCTGCTCTTCTCTTCCGTTTTGCAAACAAATGGCAAATCCTCCCACCAAAAGTCCTTCTCCTGATGTGATTGGCCAGCTCTCTGCCAGCCTCTCAGAAAAGGGAAGGGCGGTTTCTGAGACTCCATTGCCAATTCCTTCCAAATCCCTCCACTATTTTCTGTTGATCATGAGGGTTCTGTTTGGGAAATTTGTCCCAATTCTATCATTGGTGGGGCTCAGAATTCTCTTTGATAGTAGGTTGGCAAATAGTGCCAACAAAGAGGGAAAAATAGGACAAGTGCAAAGAAGCCAGAATGGATTTTCAAAGAACTTCTAACTGTGCTAAGACTCAAAAGAGACATGCACAAGAAGTGGAAAAAGGGAGAAATCACTAAAGAAGAATTCAAACAAATAGCCAACTCTTGTAGGGAAAAGGTTCACAAGGCTAAAGCACAAAACGAACTCAGGGACATTAAAAACAATAAAAAGGGCTTCTTTTCTTATGTCAGTAGAAAAAGGAAGAACAAATCTAAATCTAAAGGCTGTTTTCTTAATATTTTAATAGGCAAACCTGGATAATTTAATCCTCAAAGAGGAAATAATGCTACCAAAGAAACAAGCTGTATGCAGTGTACACCACGCAGTTGGGAAATTTGCCCACAGAGGAATGGATCTGAATAATTCAGTAATTCAGTAAAACCAGCTACCTACTCTCACTAGTAATACACCTATGATGATGGCTTTAACTATGTCATTTTCCACTTCCACTTTCTGGATTAAAAAGAGAATCTTTTAAAGAGGGCACCCATCTTCACCTTTTTTTCCATGTTTTTCAGATGAGGAATCCAATAAAACCGGACACACTGTTCTCATTGCCATTGGTGTATGTGTAATTCTCTTCATTCCTTTCCTGCTACTTGTTCTTTTTTGGTTCAAAAGAAGAAGAGATGGTAAGTTTGACCCCCTTTGAAGAATTTCAAACATTCTTGGCCAGAATCTGTAAAGAGGCCAAGGGAATCTCGTAAAGATTGGATGGTTTTCCGCCCTTACAGAATCAAATAGTAAATGATACTTTTAAAAGTTTGGCACGTAAATGAACAAGAATTTGGGGGGCGCAGGGGTTAAAAAGATTCCCAATACTGGAAACTGGCTATAAATTAGTTATGAACTGTGTCCAATCCACTGCTAAATTTCAGTCAACCTTCTGATGTCTCTTTCATCTGTCTTTTCAAAGTCCCCAACATTTCACAGATGAAAATGAGGACATTTATGGTCAACAGATATAGATGGATGGATGGTTAGATAGAAAGATACACAGGACCCTTCCACACAGCCCTATAACCCAGATTATCAAGGTGGAAAATCACACATTATCTGCTTTGAACTGGAATATATGGCAGTGTGGACCAATAACCCAATTCAAAGCAGATATTGTGGGATTTTCTGCCTTGATAGTCTGGGTTATATGGCTGTGTGGAAGAGCCCATAGATACATAGAGGTGCTTGTTTTGCTCATAGGCTTGAACTTGAGAAAAATCCATTTCAATGCTGTATTTTGTTTCTTTACAGCACTATTGGAAGAAACACAAGCAAGGTAAGAGGTCTCTGGCATTCAGCTTGAACTCCACTGTCTTGAACCCCCCCTTGACCTAGGGATGGTAGGATGCAATGCTGAACTAAAGAGAGGGAAGGTGAAGAGCAAATGCGGAGACCCAGACTTACTTTAGAAAGTGAGTAGTGTAGTAGACATTTATTTTTAAAATTATAGTAATTCGAAGAATATACTTTATCTTATGTTTACTAGACTGGGAGGGAAGGGAATGTGTGAGAATTAGGAAAGTTTCTGAATTCACTTAGAACTAGTATTACATAGTAGATTGTGAGATGCAACTAAAGACGTCCAAATTTTCGGGGAGTCATGATGGATGGTTGGTTGATTAAATTGCAAGAAGCAGAATCTTTCATTCTCTGACGAAAAGTGGGTTCAAGCAGATTAGAAAGGTTCATTGAATTCTTCTGGAAATCCAGTTTGGCTGACTGTGTTTCCATTGGCCAGAGGAATGTCCTTTGGTGCTGAGTGAAGAGCTGAGTAGGCTCCTAGAGTTATTTGGGGTACTGATTCAGGAAATTGCATTGTATAGATAGTACGCCACTTTGAGTCCCCTGCAAGGATGAGAAGAGTGGGATATAAATGAAGTAAAGTAAATAATTAGATCACATCAGCTCTGGTTTCTTAGATATGGTGAGTAAGCAGATGACGACTAGTATATTGCATATATTCTGTATCTCAAAAACTACAGCTGATAGAGGAACACTGGTACCATTTTTGGAACCACCTGGTCAAATATACCCAAACATAGGGCTAAATTTTGAGGCACCAAAATACATATTGGTTTTTCTTTTCTCCTTTTGATTAGTGGCGAACGCTCTTTCAGAGTTTTGAGGATTAATCGGGCAACAAAACATTCTGGTAAGAACAGTTTATGAGTCATGTCACATCATGCTTATTATCTCTAGATAAGTATCTTGACTTTGCGGGTCTTCCAAGGAATAGTTCCACAAAACGTTAAAGAAATCTTTTGAGATTTCACTCCTTATAATGGTTGTTTCTGATTCTGCTTCAAGTCCTCTCCGAAATGTGTTTGGGAATTTGGTCTGTTCTTAGTGGTAGCATCAGCTTGTTCCTTTTCAAGTACTCTTTTTTCTCCCTTGAGATGTGATTGGCATTATTTTCTGCCACCCCCTTCATCATCTTCCCTGGGTGTCCCTTCCCCAGTATCCACATCACCTATTTCATACATCATTTTCAATCTGGTAATGATTCCTGACTGTCCTCTCCCACACACACACACACACACATTATTTATTTTTCCTGTTTTTACTTTTCTGTTTAACTGTATAATCACAGTATAATCACAGTGCTATGGTGCCATAAATCTATACCCCTTTAAGAACCATATATCTAAAAACCAAAGAGAAGAAACTTTCAGTCTGATAACTTGAATGTATTTATGCCCCCTTCCTATTAAGCCCTAAACGATTCCAGCCCAGTTTACCTGTCCGAACGTATCTCCCTCTATGAACCAACAAGGACCTTAAGATCATCTGGGGAGGCACTGCTCTTGGTCCCACCATTATTGCAATTGCGGTTGGTGGGGACGAGAGATGGAACCTTCTCCGTTGTGGCCCCTCGGCTGTGGAACTCCCTCCCTAATGAGTTCAGATCCTTACATTCTGAAAGAAACTTAAACCCTGACCAGGCATGTAGCCTGGGGGGGGGGGGGCTTGAGGGGCTTCAGCCCCCCCCCTCGAAATTCTCATGGTGGTTCGCGAAAAGGCCTTACTGGTACATTATTTAAACTGTTATGTTTATTCATATCATGATCTGATCACCATACTCAATATATCCCATATGCATGGGGGTATGGGGGTAATGATACAAAAGGTTTGCTAGGCTAGACCCTCTTTCACTCAGCCCCCCCCCCCCCAATCAAAATCCTGGCTACGGGCCTGACCCTGACTATGGGATCAAGCATTTGCAGAATCGACCAATTTACTGGTGAAGACAAGATTTGATTGGACCGCAATGGATTGATTCAGGATGACAATATGATGTGGCGGCAAAAAAAGCCAATGGGATTTTTCCTGCATCAATAGGAGCATAGTGTCTAGATCTAGGGAAGTAATGCTACCCCTCTATTCTGCTTTGGTTAGACCACACCTGGAATATTGTGTCCAATTCTGGGCACCACAATTCAAGAGAGATATTGACAAGCTGGAATGTGTCCAGAAGAGGGCAACTAAAATGATCAAGGGTCTAGAGAATAAGCCCTATGAGGAGCGGCTTAAGGAGCTGGGCATGTTTAGCCTGAAGACGAGAAGGCTGAGAGGAGACATGATAGCCATGTATAAATATGTGAGAGGAAGTCACAGGGAGGAGGGAGCAAGCTTGTTTTCTTCTTCCTTGGGGACTAGGAAGAATGGCTTCAAACTACATAAAAGGAAATTCCATCTGAACATGAGGAAGAACTTCCTGACTGTGAGAGCTGTTCAGCAGTGGAACTCTCTGCCCCGGAGTGTGGTGGAGGCTCCTTCTTTGGAAGCTTTTAAACAGAGGCTGATGGCCATCTGTCAGGGGTGCTTTGAATGCAATAGTCCTGCTTCTTGGCAGGGGGTTGGACTGGATGGCCCATGAGGTCCCTTCCAACTCTGTGATTCTATGATTCTATGATTTCAACTTGGCAAACTTTTTAACATATATTTATAATTGTATAATGTATTTAAATGTATTTTATGCTATTCTTTATTGTGTCGGCACTGAATAGTGAACTGTTGGAAGCCCTCCTGAGTCCCTCTTCGGCGGTTGAGAAGGACAGGGTAGAAATAATCTAAATAAATAAATATTATTTCTTTTTCCTATTTCTCACTTTCTGTTTAATTTAGAGATAGTTCTAAAACAGTACATGTTTATAGCAGTTTAGAATCATATCTTGGGGGGGGGGAAGGTTAGAGGTGGGACAAGAAACATTTAGTTTGATATCTGGAAAGGTAATGAGAAAATTAAAGTTTAGTGGCAAACTTAATTGAAGACCACACTCTCATTCAAAACATCCTGTTCATCCCTCTCCCCTCCAAAATAATCTGGGAACATGGCAAAATGCCCCTCACCCCCCTTAGAGGGAATTTTGGGGCAAGAATTGTTTTTAAATGTTGTTTTATTCGTAGGAGATTCTGGGTTCCCTGGAGGGTGCATATGGCCACCTCTGCTTTAAGTCAAGCAGCTTATAAGAAGTGTTTTCAATATTCATCTTATTTTTCATCCACAGGCACATCAAAATCTGGAAGAAAACATTTGGAGAAGGAAGTGAGTTTCTTTTGTTGGTTTTCTGAAACATGAACTGAAAGTCAAAAAGAATAAAAAAAGGGTTGACCTACTTGAGCACATCTGAGACCCTCTCATGTCAGGATAAGGTTCAAAATGGCATTCACTCATAGTCCACTGAGAAACCCTCCCTTTTCTGTTAATAATAATAATAATAATAATAATAATAATAATAATAATAATAATCTTTATTTATAGGTTGCTCTATCTCCCCAGGGGGACTTAGGGTGGTTTCCAGGGGGAAAGGCCAACATTCAATGTCTTGGCGATAAACAACACATAAATGCCTGGTGTGTTACCAGCCTGTGGGAGGCTTCTCTCATGTCCCTGCATGAGAAGCTGGAGCTGACAGATGGGAGCTCACCCCACTCCCTGGTTTCCATCCTTTCGGTCAGCAGTCTTGCTGGAACATGGGTTTAACCCACTGTTCCACCTGGGGCTCCATAAACATTATTATAAACTCATAAGTTTTGTTAAGCAAATCTTTCTCTCCACACCTCTCCATCAACGTCCCACCTCCATTATCTTGTTCATGCCTAGCATTATTTTTTTAACTTCAATTACATTTGGCCCAGCCATAGATTTTAAATGTGCACTGTACCTTGTTTAATGTTTATGCTATTGTGCTTGAGATTTATTTTAATTGCCTTGTATTGTGTTTGTTATTGATTGTATTGATGTATTGTGGGCTTGGCCTCATGTAAGCCGCACCGAGTCCCTTGGGAGATAGTAGCGGGGTATAAATAAAGTATTATTATTATTATCATCATCATCATCATTATGTGCAGAAAGAAGGAGCAAACAACAAGAAGTAGAGCTCACTGGAAAAATCTAGTTTATCAGTCAGCTCCTGACCTTGACATAAGGCATTGTTTCCTGGTGAAGCAATCTTCTGTGTTGTTACTTTGATCTTTTCCATCATGGAATGGAAGGAGGTAAATCCTGAATACAGAAATAGAGGGGTGAGACAGCATGGGGTGCAGACATTCTCACATTGTTTGATTTCTGGTGGGAATTAATTAGAGTGGGCCCCTTGGTGGTACTGAAGTTCTGATGAGAAGTACCCAACACCCCATTCAAAGAGTGTTTTAATTCAGAGGGCACTGGGGACACACTGAATCGCTGTTATGGCAGTCTACCTCATTTTGTGCATCTAAGTGATTTTGGATTATTGTGTCTTATATAAAAATGCATATTTTGCACATTGTTTCCCATGCAAACTATTGGGGGGGGGGGGTATGAAAAAGTACCCTGCAGACAAGAACTCCTGATCTACTGAAATTCATGAAGGGCATGTGTGATGCATGCTTTGTAAGTCACTTCTATCGATGTGCCTCTTCTTCCTGCAGCCTCCAAAAGATGACCCTGCCACCCAGCCACAAAACATAGTCTATGCTGAATTGAAGAGGTATACCTCAGACAGGCCTCAGGCCGAAGCTGAAACTGAGGATGATGTTATCTACACCACAATTGTTGCAAGTTAAATCTACAAATGTTAGGAGTCCTGGAAGATTTGTGTGTCTTTTGGATGGCTTCCTATAATAACATTGGGAGTGCTCAAGAAGTTCTAGGACTCTGGATCTTTAGACTGTATAGGTCCACCTAGCAAATGAATTTCAGTTGTTTCTAGCTCTTTTCCTGGCTTTGTGATAAAAACATACTCTCCAGTAGACATTCAGGCAGTCGAAATTTAATCAGCTTCAATGCAAACTTACAATGCCTTGTTATCCATTTCAATAAAATTCTCCTTTTTTGCTCATAAACTGAACTGCAAATGCATTGTATTTAAAGACTGTTTAACTTTGAATATGTTTAAATGGTTTTTAACTGGGATTTTTTAAAAGACTGTTTATATTTAAATCTGTTTTAATGTTTGCATATTTGTATTTTTAAGTTGTATGTTGATGCTTTTGCATAATAATAATAATAATAATAATAATAATAATAATAATGTGGCTCTGACTTTAAAACACCACACGCTGAGTAGGGAAAACAATTCTTTTATTGAAGATATGTAAAAGCATCAAAGTAAAAAAAAAAGCACTTTAAAGGGATATATAAATCCAATTAGGCAAAAAGATAATCAGGAACAAATTAGTCCAAGGTAGAGTTCTGCAATGTCCAAAAGCAAAGTCCACAAGTCTCTAACAAAATCCAAAGAACCAGGAAATGTTGATCCAAGGCATGAGCAGGTAATCACAAGGGACAAAAATCCAAACAGGAAACAAGAAATCTTTAAGCATGATTCTTCCAAGCAAGGCTTCTATGAGACGAGGACAAGAACTTAGCAGGATTCTAAACCATGCTTCATCTGGCAATATTTTCCATGCTTGAAACTTTTAAGCCTTTCCAAGCACTCAGAAACTGATTTCGCTTTCCTTTAACGGCCCTTATCTTTTTGTGTTGAAGCCTGCCAGAACGCCGAAGGCCTTGCTCGGCCTGTCTGTTTTGACTAATTTCTGCCTGCCTATCTATATGCTCATTAGTCTCCACAGGTGCCGAGTTGTTTTCAAGCCCCAAATCCTGGGAACTCTCTGGGAGCAATTCAGGGAGTAATCCATCATCCCTGCACTCTGTAGGAACATTGTCATGGGAAACTACATTTTGAACAGGTGTCTCTCTGTCATTTCCTGCATCAATATCACTGACCAAACCGTTGCCATCTTGAACCTCATTTACATCATTCCCCACATCCAAAGCACGCTGATCCTGAAACGCAATCACAGCTGAACTCCAACACATACAGGAATGCAATCAAAGGGTTTGTCGCCACTCCCAATGGGGCTGCAGAGCTTTTATCATTTTTGGCAGTAAATTGGATATACCTTCTCATTTTTCCAAAGACAAATCATTTCATTGGTCTAACCTAGCTATACAGTTGCTCATTGGTTGTTTATGATTTTGATTGACATTACAGCACACATCCGATCCTAACAATGGCACAACTATAGCACAACTATAGTCTGTTGTTCTCTGAACATGACTTTCTTAATTGAATCAGTTTTATCTGTTAGTCTGTTTCAAACATAACTCCAGAGCAACTGGGAAACTTGGGAGTGCTAACTAGCCACCAGCTAGTTTGTTCGGATGTACTGTTATCCTTGGAAAGTAACTTCCTCTCTGGAGCACCGTTTTCTCAAACAATAAGCATTTTCTGTAAACAAAGGCCTATGCAGAAACAGCAATATCTAGAACACAGATATCTATTACTAAGATACACAAAGGATTGTGTTATTGTTATTGAAACTTCAAATATAATGTCATATGACAGATTTATTACTTATAAACACAATAAAGAGGAACAACTTCTCTTAGTCATGGATAAATGTCCATATTCATTTAGATAAACATAAACATAATAGTCCAATCCGTCTGATGATTTAAAGAGTCACTTGTAGATATTTTGAAGGACTATTTGTGGCATCCAAGGTTGTGTCAGAGAAGAGTTCTACATGGTGATCGGGTTACAACAAGGTATCCCGGGTGTAGTCCTTCGAAAATATCTTTATTGTGTTTATAAGTAATACATCTGTCATATGACATTATATTTGAAGTTTCAACAACAATAACATAATACTTTGTGTAGCTATGCAGGAACAGGCCAATATGGCAGTAAATAACACTTCTGAAAATTTCCTTTTAAAACTACATCTCCTTCAGCTTGAGTGAAGTATTGAGAACGTCATGCAACAAACCTCTATTTCCATCAACTTCTAGTGATTTGCTATCTCCATCAATCCTAGCATAGTAAGTGGGATGTGAGGTCCCCACTTACCACTTACCTTTCATGGTCCCTATATAGCCCCTTACATATATATAAAGCAGTGGCTACATAGGGATCATGATAGCAGTGACAATGCATAACTGGAAGGTACACTGATTTGGCCATGGTGGTCCATGCTCTGGTTACATCCTGTATAGATTACTGCAATGTGCTCTACATGGGGTTGCCTTTGAAGACTGTTTGGAAGCTCCAACTGGTCCAGAGAGTGGCAGCCAGTTGCTCAATGGAGCGGCACTCAGGGAGCACATGACCCCCCTGTTGCATTAGCTCCACTGGCTGCCAGTTTGCTACCAAGCACAATTCAAAGTGCTGGTTTTAGCCTATAAAGCCCTAAACGGTTCTGGCCCAGGCTACTTGTCTGAACGTATCATCCTCTATGACCCAGCACATACATTAAGATCTTCTGGAGAGTCCCTGCTCTCAATCCCTCCGGCTTCACAAGAGCGGCTGGCAGGGATGAAAGACAGGGCCTTCTCAGTGGTGGCCCCTCGGTTGTGGACCTCCCTTCCTTGTGACATCAAAGCAGCTCCCTCCCTAATAGCCTTTAGGGAAAGAGTCAAAACCTTTGGAAACTAGGGCAATGCAGTATTCTGAATCAAAACTTTGTGCAATTTGACCTTGGACAGACTCAGACCATGAGCTTTGAATGGCGTGTTTTCTAAAATTTTAAAATCTTAAATCTGTTTTACCTCTGTTTAATATGTTGCAATTTTTGAAATGTTTAGGTAATTGTTGAGGCATAATGTTTGTGCCATTGTAATCCGTCTTGTGTCCCCTGTTGAGGGAGAGAAGAGCGGGGTACAAGTATGGCAAATACATACATACATACATACATACATACATACATATTTTTAACTGCCCTGCAGGATTCCAGACATGGTTTCTTACACAGCAAAATATGCAGATAAGTTTGAAACACAAAAAGCAAACTCATTTCCACCCTAAAGAAAAAGAACACCAGGGTGGAAGTTGCAAAGCAGTAGTATCTCAGTTCCTGTCAAAGACAATTTGAATTTCAGATTGCAAGATTATGGTGATAGAGTGTGCGTACATTCAGTGTCAAGCTATTATGATAAAGAAGTAAGGAGAACCTAAAAGAAGCACTAAGCCCCTATTTACTTTCCCTGACGTGGAACCAATTCTGGCAGGGACCAGAACATTTAGTAAGTACGTAAGGTAAAGGTAAAGGTTCACCCTGACATTAAGTCTAGTTTTGTTCAATTCTGGGGGGTGGTGCTCTAAGCCAAAGAGCTGGCATTTTCCGTAGACACCTCCAAGGTCATGTGGCTAGCACGACTGCATGGAGCGCCATTACTTTCCCACAGGAGCAATACCTTTTGATCTACTCACACTTGCATGTTTTCAAACTGCTAGGTTGATAGAAGCTGAGGCTAACAGTGGGAACTCACCCCGCTCCCTGGATTTGAACCACCAACCTTTCAGTCAGCAAGTTCAGCAGCTCAGAGGTTTAACCTGCTGCACCACCAGGAGGCCTTTAAGTTTGTATAAGTATGTATAAAACAGAATGAAGTTTGCATTTAAACTTGGGTTCTTTGACCAAAATATCTTATTATGCACATATATACAAATGCAGGTGTTCCAAAATATTAAAAAATCCAAAATACTTCTGGTCCCTGGATAAGGAATACTCAAACTGTCCAACACTGTGAACAGCAGTAGATGATAGGGAAAATCTTGATTCATTTGTCTGTCTGTTCAGTAGACAGCAACATAGGGAGAAAGGAGCCCCAAAGTGAATGCCCACGTGAGATGTTGGAGGATATGCGTGCATGTGTTTCTTTTAGCACATAACCACAATTTTATTATCTTTTCCCATGAAACCATCTAATCTATATTTTGTATTTACCCCACCTCTAAACACTACAGATCCCCCATTGAAAATTCTTTGAAATGACTTGAGTTGCTATTTTAGTGACTTGATTGATTATCTGATCACAGAAGATCTTTCTTACACATCAGGGGGGAGCACATGAGAGGCTCGTAACCAAGACCTTGTTGGTAGATTGGGCTCTTACCAGTTTCCTGTTATCTTGGGATCCAGTTTGGGGGCTGATGCAATGTAGGACACTCAACAGATACCACAGCTGGAACTAGGCTTATGAACTCCAACGTTGTCCCATTATGAAGAAGACACCCACTGTTGCCATCCTGTTGTTTTGGTGAGAACTTGAGCTGACAAGGACTGAGGGTGACTTGAACTAGGAGGGAAGGATATTTACATAAAAGCATATGGGGGTGTTTAAGTTCTCTGAGGACTTAAACATCGGGATTAATTGGAGATGAAGTTTCAGTAGCTAAATTGTAAAGCATGTTGCTACAGAGGTATGTTAATATTGTTGTATGACTCAATTCATCCAAGAATGAGTGGCTCTAGGCAGTGAAAATGTTGAATAGAACATCTCGCATTCATATGCCCATTCATATGTGTCCATAAGGAGACACATGCAGACATAGTAGATATGGCCTTCAACTGGGATCTTATTGCGATGGAGAACTGTTCAGAAGTGGTTGTTTTTGATTTTCAGGTTGCTCTCCAGCTCAGGAGCAGAAGATGATCAAACTAGGTAAGAAAATGCCCAGGCAAATCTGTTTTATTGCTACAATGTCTCTAAACCAGGATTTCTCAACCTGGGGGTCGGGACCTCTTGGGGGGGGGGTTGCAAGAGGGCGTCAGAGGGGTCACCAAAGACCATCAGAAAACACAGTATTTTCTGTTGGTCATGCAGGTTTTGTGTGGGAAGTTTAGCCCAATTCTTTCGTTGGTGGGGTTCAGAATGCTCTTTGATTGTAGGTAAACTATAAATCCCAGCAATGACAATTCCAAAATGTCAAGGTCTATTTTCCCCAAACCCCACCAGTGTTCATATTTGGGCATATTGAGTATTTGTGCCAAGTTTGGTCCAGATCCTGATTGTTTGAGTCCACAGTGCTTTCTGGAAGTAGATGAACCACAACTCCAAAACTTAAGACCAATGCCCACCCAAAGCCTTCCAGCATTTTCTGTTGGTCATGAGAGTTCTGTATGCCAATATTGGTTGAATTCCATCGTTGGTGGAGCTCAGAATGCTCTTTGATGGTAGGTTAACTATAAATCCCAACAACTATAACTCCCAAGTGACAAAATCAATCCCC